TTTTTTGAATAAAATATCGGGTAGCAGGGGAGATTTAATAGTAGAAGATCTAGTATGACAATAAAAACTTTACATCCTGAAATTTCTTAAGGAATTTAGGATAATTTATTAGTATCGAAAGCAAGTTTAAAAAATTATAAATACTTAAACAAAATAAAGAAATACACTCAAATGATAATTTGTCAACCCAAAACTAAATAATTTTAAATAAAATTTTCAATGATAGAGATATTACCTTTAAATTTCGAGGAGGTGTAATAGGCCAACCAGGATTGAGAGAGACGAAAGGAAATTTTTTCTTATCAGCAGGTTTTAGAATCTGAACAAGCAGGAAAAAAGGTAGATGACAAACAAATGGTAAGAACATGACAGATAAGCACTTATACAGCAAAATCAACATAAATAACGAAGTGAAATAAGATGTCAAAAGTGAATCACCTGGAAAGAGCATATGAGAGTTTCGTCTACTGACATCATGGCACCGGCATTGTCAAATTCGCCACAATAATTCGGCGCTGAGAAGAGTGTTACTAACTGGCGCTTTGCGAAAAATTCATAACCATCTTCCACAACTTGATGTGCTCTGCAAACTAAATCCATGTCATGCTTCTGGAGAAACTTTGCCACAATTTCCGCGCTAAAGGTATAACTAACACCCCGGTCATTTTCACCCCAACCAGTTATCTCCTTATCCGGATCTGACCATAACAAATCGCACAAGAGCCCCTGTTCCGGAACATCCGTTGGTCTCATGATACGCCTAATCTGCTCCATAGATAGCAAGTCCGGGGAGAGTCCACCGTGACAACAAAATATCTTTTCATCAACGATCGCAACAATTGGTAGGCAATTAAAACAATCGGTGAATGTCTTCCAGAGTTTGATGTTATACCTTCGCTTACCTACAAATTATAAACAAAAAATGCAACCAACATTCGTCATAAAACCCATATATCCTGTTAATGGAAGCACATTCATGGTTGCCTCTAAGTAAAAAGAAATTTTCGGGATATTTTATTTTGTATGCTAGTAGAAGACATATAGTCTCCAGAGATTGCTTGCCACGGTCAACATAGTCTCCGAGGAATAGATAATTAGAATCAGGAGGAAAGCTCCCATATTCGAATAAGCGTAGCAGATCGTAATATTGCCCATGGATATCTCCACATATTTTGAGTGGTGCCTCTAACTCCAAAAGAATAGGCTGTCTGAGAAAAATTTCTCGAGACTTTATTGCGAGACCCCTGATTTCTGCTTCAGTAAGTTGTACATTCTTGCCAGGTCTGGAACCCCTGACTAAATAGTAACAAACATATGAATAATTTATTTCATACCTTCCAAAAGCCTGGATATTATGCTATCCGTGTTAAGCTTTTCGACATCAGCCATGTAGAAGAATGTCAAAATTCACTTCAAAAGATGGCCCCCGAAATCGTCTCAATGTCACACGCAGGTGGTGTATTCAAAGATTGCAATAATAAGTTATATTGCACAAACTTTCCAAACTTTTTAAAAAACCAGAATAAGAGAATATTAAACATTTAATAAAAAGTATCCACCATATAAGATTTTTAATAAATTATACTAAGCAGATGCAACTTAATATGAAAAAAATTACAAGCTATGATATGAGAAAACTATTGGTAAAATATCTTTTTCAAAATCGGACTAGTTCTTATGCTTTGCTGATATATGTTCTAGGTTTCTTA